GGGTTTCGACTGTCACACTCGCACCAGGCAGGCAAGGCTCCACACAATCCCGTCACGCATGGAAGCCCGAGCAGTACGCGTAGTAAGAACCGGAACCATCTAAGACCATTCAACCACCGGAATCCCCCAATGCTCATGGCTCCCAACTCTGAAACGAAGGCATTGCTTCGTTCTCCACCTGAGTTTCGACTATGGCTCTTAGGGAGGGATTGGGGTGTAGGTTGGTTATTAGGGTTTACGTTTATGTTCTGCTTTAGGCTGAGAGCCTGCAGTTAGGCGGGGTTTAGGGTTGCGTGTCGGGTTTGAAGTACAGGTTAAGGCTAATAAAGAAAAGGAACACGTCCTACGTTGTAAGGTTTATGGCTTGTGTAGGGCTTGCGTACGATGGCGGCCCTCTCTGTGACCCGTGGGCCGTTCCCCAGCAGCACCCCATTCTAGCTGCAGCTCCAAATGCCCCGACCCTCCCCCCTCCACCCCTACCAAACCATAACATGGGGAGGGGGGGGGGGGATGCGTGAAGGCCAAACGGCTGACCATGCACAGGCCTAGTTGTTGCCTCCTGTCAGGTGCTCGGTGTTCGGGAGGAACGGCGCACTGAGACAGGCGAAGCCGTGACAAATGCAAAGCGATATCCAGTTTCCTCACGAGTGCGCTTGGCGGCAGCTTGGTTCTCCGCTGCCGGAACCTGGGAACAGGATCAGTTCGTAGGTGAAAAGACCGCCTTGCTAGATTCCAATGCCAATTTAAACATATGGCTTTGTGGGACATAATGTTGTACGGTTCAAAGCCCAGACGATTGGCAGAGACGATAAAGCGGATTTTATTTTCAGGTGCAGGCTTCATGGCTCAAGCGCTTTGAGTGCTTTGGCTCTGCAGCTCTAGAGTTTGGACGTCACATCTCAGCCAGAGCGCACGGCTGGTCTATTGCGGGTACACAGGTTTGGATACTGCAGGAGACTGGATCTATACAACCGAGAATTCAAGCAGGATTTATTGCGTTCAGGGCCCTGGAGCTGGGATGAAAATGCCTCTGAAAGCTCGGCTTAGTCCGCACATCTATCCCAACCTGCTCCGCAGGCTAGCATCCCTGCATCCGGGGACCCAGCGTCTTCTGGCAACAACGAGGCCAAAGGCTCTTCAACCATTCGACGGATGACGTCTCCTCCGGGTTCGGCTAGCCGGCTAGCTGGGTTTTACATGGTTTTAAGCTGCGATGGCTTCTTGGCTGTTTCCTGTACAGGATCCTGGAGCTCTCGCTCCGTCATATCACAAGGAAGGAACACCGATCGTGTATAGCGGATAGCGTTATAAAGCGCCAGGAGTGAAACTTGGAACATCTGCAATGCTCGCCGCCAACCCCCACAAACCTCAAATTTCAGGATAAGCTGAACCCTGTTCACAGAGACATCTATGGTCCTTTCCGCTTTCGGCTCTCACACTCGGACAATGCAGGTGAGGCTTGTGTTCGTGAGTCAGCTGTGGTGAGACTGGCGGGAAAAAGAAGACATTTTCCTCTTTAAGCGCAGCGAAAAAGTACATTATGCTCCGAAGGACCGCCTCGTCTTCGAGAATAACAAAGAGGAATAACCCTGCACATAACTTTTGACATGAGAACAGTCCTCCTAAGAACTAGCTAGTCGCGGCCTTCCAACAGCAAGGATACCACCATGCATCCATGCTGGTTGGACCAGAATAAACCCTTCACTGACATAACCCTGCATCAGCCTGCTGCGCCAATCATCATCATAATCATCATCATCATCATCACCATCGCCATCGCCCGCATGTCCATCGCCGACATCATCATCATCATCATCACCAATCATGTCATCATCGCAGCAGGAGACAGAGAAGGACAGGAACATCGCAAGACCCTCGCCAATCTCAGCAGACCCTTCGCTCCAACACTGTGCGCGAAGTTGGTGGCCCAGTCCCAACCCCAAGCTGCATCGTAGTGGAAAATCCGGAAATCCCAATCATCCTGGGCAGTTCTGCGGCAGAATAAATGTCAAGGGTTCAAGTTTTCGGGGGAAAATCGAGAGATTCTCGCTCACATCTTCACAAATGCTACCAGTATTGGGGGCTACTACAGGTCTACATATTCCACGGCTCGAAGTTGGCATGACAAGAATGACCCTTCAAGTTTCAGATCACGCTCCAATATTTCGTCCTGTCTCTGGACCCCAAACAACGCATGAGCCACCTGCAGCCAAGGTGCAAGCTTGAGCTGATCTATCCTGGGTAGCTGCCGCTGTCGGTTTCAGGGTTTAGCACACTTCCTTTGAGACCTTCGCATGTGAGAGCTACCGGAAGGAGTCTATCCTGAAACCCACAAGGAAAGAAGAACTCGACAGCCCCTGCAGGCTACAGACAAGGGCACATGCGCAGCTAAGCAGCAACTAAAGACCCTCTGGAGTCAGAAATGGGTCCTTCTCCTTGACCTTCTCATGCTGTCACTTGAAGCGCAGGTATGGTAGGGTTTATATAAGGTCTGCCGTCTACGACTACCGTTGTTATTGTTCTTCTTCCTCGTTTTTTTGTTATTGGTGTGAGTGTGAGCATTCCAAATTCCCTGTGCTACTTATTGTTGCTAATTTATCTTCTACTTCGCCCGCAAATCCACGCGTGACGGATGTGAAGGAGCGTTGCTGCAAGCCAACTTCTGCACAGGGCTCAAGGTGCTGTGTTTGGGGGTCGCGCATCCAAAAGACTAGAAACACCAGTGGCAAGTTGGAGGGCTGCTCATTCCTGGATTACAAATAACGACGCAAGCACAGGAGCTTCCTGTGATCAAATCCAAGTTTGGATGGTAAAGCTGCAGTGCATTACCATGAAGTCAAATCCCCTGCGTTCATCTGGCCCTGTGGCAGATCAGCCTCGTGAAGCTGACAACCGCCTCTTTCCTTCTCGCGGGTCATCGCCCTAGAAGTGATGCAAGATGGGTACCAGCAGGGACTGCACGAGGGTGCACAAATGAACTGATCCGGTGAATCTCCCACGGCACCGGCTACGCGCTGGTAGAGCGTGCGCAAGTTCGTGACCTTGTAGGAACTTGTACGTGTCCATGGAAGACGTCCAGAAGTGAAACTCTTGACAAGGCCGGCCTGCAGGCCGACCTGTCTGATGACCCAACGTCCCAAGATGGCAAACATCACGGCGGCCAGTAGTTTGCCAACCAGCAGCAGAAGCTTCGACAGGCAGCACTTCGTAGAAGGGTTGCATGCCGTCAAGGCATGGTGTGATTTGCATGCAGCTGGTATCAATGCAACCCAGGGCATGGATTCCAGCTTCTTGATGCTCTTGCCGCCTGCAACGATTCATTGTTGGAAGCACGCTGGAGAAAACTTGCATCTGCTGCGCTGCGTTGTGTCCATGTCTGTCAGGAACTGTCGTGGATCTTTAAAGTCAGCCTTGCTTGAAGCCCTCCCCATGGATTTCGAAGGAATGCTTTCGGTGCCGTCTTCGTGTCTGTGGAGTAACTGAAACAGGTTCTGATCCAGAACTCAGTGAACGTAAACGACCAAGCCTTCAAGGCGAACATCATCGCCAGTGTGCCCTCTAGCGCAGGCACACGAAGAGGATCATACTCGCATGGTGCTGCGACAGCACGGCCAGCGCAGCTCGATGTCAGAGCAGAAGTCCTTTCAGGTATGTATTCGGCGCTAGTTCATTCATCTGCACCCATGGCCAAGTGATGGTGAGGGCAAGAATGTAGTGCAAGCGACTTGCACCAATGCCTCATCCACGTGCTGCCTCGTGTGGGTCAAAACCCACGTACTCCGCATGGTCCAGTTGCTGCCAGAGTCTGTGGGGCACTGTGATGTCTAGTCGACGTCTCATCAAGTTGGACAGGACACTTCCTCCTGTGTATTCCTGTGTGGTGGATTTGCTGGGATGGCTCAAAGCCGTCATAACTTGCGCCTGCAGGTACGGACTGCCTAAGCCCTGTTTCAGATAAGTCTTCAGGTGCATGCCAGCGCTTCGCCGGACATGGATGGACTTGGCTTCGAGCCCCACAAAGATCTTGGGCGGACATCTGGCCCTCTTCCATGCAGCGAACTTAAGACCCGCTGCCGAGCCCAGACGAGCCCGGCTTGAGCCCAGCCGAGTCGCCGCGGGCATCGCCGAGTGGCCGAGAGGCTCCGGCAACCGTAAACTGTACACTTGTAGAAAGGCTCCAGGACGACATCTTCCGCAATTAAGACTTTCTGTCGCGTGTTGAGTGTTGGGCAAGTTGGAGATCGCGTGGCCAACCACTTTTCGGAAAACAACTCCCTCCTCACGACTGACCGCAGCATCACTCTTCTCTATCAAATCCGCTGTCTCGAATCTATAATGCCCTTCACGCTCAAACTGGTTTAAGCAAGCCTGACTCGGCACGGCACACCCCTAACTGACACGTTCAGAACTTGCAAGCTCAGGGACCGGATGTTCAAGTGCGAGTAGGCAGATCCTTTCCAGTTGCTTGGCGGGAAAGCCTCGGTCACGGCCACGGAGGGAACCGAAGTGTGAAGATCTGGGACCCGCTCAGAGGTTCCGGCAGGCTGACTTCTCGAAATGTGCTTCGATTACCCGGGTTCTACTTCACACATGTGAGCGATCACTGGTTTCTTTCAACAACTCTCTCCGGAGCTTCCACAATCATGCTCTTACATTTTCTATTCTTCGGTCTCGCCAACACAAGCATTTTTTCCCACCCGCCTAGCTGACGAAGCACATCTGGACACTTCCCCGCACGCCAACCAAGCCCCTTGTTTGAGGTAACGCACAGCCCCTCCCCGCCTCCTTGCACACATGGCGGAAGCCAGGAGGAAGGCTCTCCTGAGCAGTACAGGCGTGGACTTAGGGACCAGGCCGCAGATCAAGCTTGTCGGGCTATTAGAAGACTTTCAGACAATAGGGGTTCCGAAAAACTAGGATACTTACTGTGAAGCTTCACCCAATTTCTGAGGCTTTGAGTTCGGAGCCAAGGGTTTAGATTGGGTTAAGTGTCTGCGGCAAAGCTTTCAAACAAGGATTGGGAGACTTCACCCGTCGACGGAGCCCGGGGTCAAGATCTGGAACATCTGGAAAAAAAAAAGACTGCGGGCGGAACGAAAGAGAGAGAGAGAGAGAGAGACAGAGAGAGAGCGAGAGCCAGAAACATCAAAGGACAACAAGGGAAAAAGGATGGAAAAGGTGAAAAAGTCGGAGAGAAAGTGTCAATGACTTGGGGTTTTTGGGGGGCCAAAGGGAGCGAGAGTCCACAGAGACACACGCTTTTTTTGCATTCCTTTTTCAAGGAGTCGTGATCTAACAAAAAACAAGGATTGCCGAGTGGCAGCCATGGCGGAGACGATGTTCACCTCGAGTTTTTGGATCCCAACATGAGTCTCAAAGCTATCGGATCTCCTGGCGCTGAGATTTCCGGTTCAGGGCTCGGAACGACGTCGGGGCTTTGACGTGACGTGGGGCTATCGAAGTGGTGTCTTGTCGAATGAGACGCCCAGAAGGAGAACCTAGACCCTTAGCCCTACCTGCTTCAATCCTGTGGTCGCTGCAGCGCTTCACTTTTGAATGTGCGGGGATGTTGAAGACAAAGTGGCACCGCTGCCCAAAGCACGGCGGCCGTGATGAAGGAAGGTTGTATCGCACGCAGGGGCTGTAGGGATTGCACCCTCATCTAGGAAGCGAGGGTGGCAAATCGTTTGAATCTGAAGTGAACCCACTGAGATTGAACATTCTTAGCTTGGAAATGTGAATGCTTTTCGTAGGGGTCAAGACCCTGACAAACCGCTTGAGTTTAAGCTATAGTAGAAATAAAATATCTCAACGAATGATGACACACCCTGAAAACGAACGGCCGAATCTGCCTGGCCAAGGCTGAGACTAAGAGTCAGAGCTCGATATTTTGGACTGAGGCCCTCAGCTAGTCTATTTCAGCTTTCGGGGGGCAGCCCGAGAAGAAGAAAGGCTCCTCCTCTTGTTGCAGCGAAGGCGCATAGACGCAAAGACCAAACTCCTGATCTGACGAAAGGTTCATGGCACTCCAACTGCAGGCCCTTGAGTCAAGGCTCGGCATTCGCTCTTTTCAATCGATTTCTTGCGAATGCCTGGACGGGCACACCCACTCCACACCCTCACCCTACAAACACATGAACTTTTGATATGAACGCCAAATCCTTCGCTGCGTGCCAGAAGCATTGGGAAGTCAGAGGGTCTGTGGCAGCGTCTAAGATACACAGCACTCAGAGGTTTCCCCGAAGCTTCTACATCCCATCACAGTCGTCTACAGCTCTTCGCACTTACATAGAAGAAATGGAAGCGTTATGCGAGGCTTTGTGTCCTGGACGCCAAATCATCCCAGCCAAGCCCTTAAAGCTAAACCTGTCTCAGACGTGCAGGTGATGGTGTTGGCCAAACCCTCATCCCTTGGCCAGGCTAGGCGCAATCCTTGTTGAAATTTTGGCCTCCCACCTAGCCAGGACGAGCCTTTGGTTTGAAGGGTTCGCGGCTTAACTGCATCTCAGCTCCATGTGCTCATCTCACAGCGATAGAGTGCGCCATCCCCTAAGCCGCCTCAATGCCCCAAGACTACATTGTGGACCGAGCATCGAAAGGTTCGGGAGCCCTCCATGTCCGCCCCACACGCACGCTGTGGATGCGATGGTGGACCTCAAGTACCCTTCTATCGTTGTACCGATGTATCTGCACCTCTACCTTTCTTCCTCTCTATCTCTCTATACCTACCACCCACCCACCCAACCCAACCCAACCCACCCCACCCCACCCCATCCCACCCCACCCCACCCACCATCCCACCACCCACCCACAACCACCCCCACCCACCCTGCGTCTGCATGTCTGCCTGCCTGCCTGCCTGCCTGTCTGTCTGTGTCTGCCTGCATCTGTCTATATGCATGTCTGTTCGCACGGAATGGTGTAAGTACTACGTATGCATGCATGCATCCATGCATGTACGTGTGTAAATGTATGCAGGTATGTTGTTACATATTTGCATGTAGGTCCGTAGGTCTGTCTGTCTGTCTGTCTGTCTGTCTGTCTGTCTGTCTGTCTCTCTATGTCTATGTGCGCACGCATGTGTGCGCACCTGCGCGTCTTGTTCTTACGCTTCTGTATATGTGCTACAACCCAAACTCTCTTACGTTCTAAAGTAGTTGAGGCGATTCGGGATCCCGGCTTTGAAGATTCAGGCTGTGGACGTTGGAGGTTTGAGGGTATTGGGGGGAACGCTTTGGGGCTTAACCGGTGTAGGATTTGGCTAGATCAGCAGGATCTACACAGATGAACTTAGATCTCTCCATGATTGCTTGAAAACGGATAAACACTGTAGATCTGCATCATCACACGACCATCATCACAGCCGCCATCTCATAGTACCGTGGTAGACTGGTAGACTACACAAAATGACCACAGCACTACAACCCCCAGGCCACTACCACGATCCACAATGAGTAATCACAGGGGAGTCTCAAGTCAAGCTTCGTCCAGAATCGTTGCAGACTCTACGTCCCCGACATCCTGGCATTGAGGGCAGTTGTTTACTTGCAGGATTTGGGATGAAGGCCTCTGGGCTTCGGGGATACAAATCATTCAGCATGCTATGCGATCCACGGTTCGACTCTCACACTCGCACCAGGCAGGCAAGGCTTGGGGTTGGGACTTTGCTTTCAGCAGTCCTGTTTGGTTTCACCGCGACGGGGCAAGTACTTTAGGTTTGCTTTGGGCGCATGAGCATCCTCCTGACCATGGCTATGCGGCCGGCCACGGCACGACAGTAAGGATGATGCGGGATATCATTTGTTCAAGCATCCATGGCTATTACCGTTGCTCTCTTTCCCACCTGCCTAGCTCGAGCTCTTCTTGCATGGAAGCTGGGTTCCGAGCATGGCTTCACGCTAAATACCGAGAACAGCAATAAATTATTGCGCCGCCCGGCCCTGTACGCGGATTCGAAAAATGGTAATCCGAAGTATGCCTATTTTGTTGTGTAAATGATAGCTTGGTCAAGACTCCCGTAGACCTGCCCTGGTACATGTAGTGACTCCATCTGTTTATATTCCGTTCATCCTCTCTGCGATGCTTCCTGCCCGGGTAACAGCCATAATTGATCATCTTCGTCGCGGATTGCAAGCATCATCGTCATCTTTTGCAACATCGATGCCTCTCGTTCTCTCACACTTGAACCTGTCTCCCAAAAAGCTTTCTGTAGCTTCTGCTGCTGTTCTTGTTGCCATAGCAACATGTTTCGTCATGTCTACGAGTCTGCGACTCTGACTGTGCTTCAGTGGCGGGTAGGTGGGATCTCTGCAGGGCTTGGGGTCTGAGGGATTCTTCAATCCGAACTTTCGCTTGAACCGACACGGGGTTTGGACTCAGGGGTTAAGGCTTTGAGTGTTGGTTCCGACAATCCCCAAGCGCAGGACTTTCTCAGGCCCGGGCGATGGTAATGACCTTGGGTAGGCCCTTTGGGGACAGTGTGTCCCTAGACCCTTCCGAAGCTGCATGCCCAATACAATCTAAGTTGTGTGTGGTTTCGGAAGCCTTTGGTGAACGTTCGGGCCAAGACGGCACTTACCTTGGGCTTTAGGGAAATCGTTGTGTTGATGCAGGCCAATGAGGGTTTAGACATTTTTGCAGCTTGAAGTGTAAGGGCTACAGTCACACACAGCAGTCGGACACTCGCCAAGGTTTCCAGAAATGGTCGTTGAAGGGGTTCCCATACAGACTGAGGACCTCGGACCTGCACAAGCAAGTTCAATGCACATGTTGTTATGATTCTGAGGGCAAGATACAGGAGAAGCAGTACTCGGTACTATCACCAAGCCCTCCATATTGCCTCACGCGCTCTGCGTGCGAAGCTTCGGGTAGTAGCCGAAGGGTCCAGTGCAACAGGCTTTGCATGTGACTTGGAGCAGATACCCGAAAGCTAGACATCGTGGCTTGCAGTCGCGAAGCTAGGAAAACAAATGTGCAGACCAGTAGAATGGGATGTCTAAACCCTCGGCCCCGACCCCCGGCAGAAAAAAGGCATGCGCAAAACTTAACCGTTGTTGGGCCAAATCCGCCTACCGTCCGCAATTCCTGAGCAGAGTTCTAGGCGCAATGTACTGGGAAGATCGGCGCGAAAACAACGATCTTCAATGACTGAAACTCGTACAAGTTAGATATGTGCAAGGCTCTGGCAACAGATAACTAGGCCTTGAACTTGCGAACCAAGGCGCTCGTGCCTCTGACAAGAATCCAACCATCCGCCCCTGACCTGGAGTTTGCTTTCGGGCTCGGGGCTCTTTCAAAAGCTTTTCGCCGTTTTGCCACGTTCAGCTGTTCCTGCAAAGTTCGGAGACAGGTCCAACCGATTCTGACAAGGACTTTGACAGTGTCCGACTGGGGTGAAAGTGACGCAACCAAAATCCCATATACAACACCCACATGCACCCACCACAGTTTCAAGCACGGGGGGGAAGCAACAACTGCACTGATATAGACGTCTTCGTCTGGAGGCGAAACTTTTTGTGGCTTTAACGCAGGCGCTTCCGCAACTTGAACAAGATCCTGACTTCAAGACCGCCACCCATGTGGATCACATCGCGCCAGCAATGCACGCACATCGATGTATACAGCCGGGCAGCCCTCCCCGTCGCGGCAAGAAGCCTGGCAAAGGGAAGGCTTTTCATGTCTGGGGCTGCTTGGAGTGCAGGACGCGTTTTCAATCTTTTACTCGCGGGAGGGGTTGGGGTTCAGCTTGCTGTTCAGGCTACTTACACAGCGCTTCGGCTTACACGGCCCAGCTGCCCATGTTCTTGAATGTGAGGCATGCGGGCTCTACTGCTCCCATATCAAGGCTCGATCGAGCCCGCGAACCTTGAAGCCCAGACCAAGCCCTCAACTCTAGACTTCAAGCCGCAAGCCTTCAGCCTCAAACCTTTTACAACCGGACCGCGGTTCAGACTGCCGTAGCCTCAATCCTAAACCCCTGACGCTAGACTGCTAGACTCTTCTGCACCTGGTGTGCTGTCGACTTTACTTCAAGCGCCGTTCCGGAATGGATATGTGCGACTGGTCCGGCAGTTTGTCAATATGCCCAATCGGACCATTTAAGCATAGTCTAAGCTCTCGGCCTTACTGCCGGCATTCTCATAGCTGAGGCTCCTCTTGCCGGCCTGAATGGTGTCAACCTCCTACGCACTTGAGCGGGAAATCTGTGCCCACGTTGAACCCGGAATCCAGAAGCCCAATAATGCTGTAGAAGAAGCTTGAAAGTTGGAAAGTCATTCTCGCAGCCCTAATAATCTCGGAAAGAAGGAAGGCCAACCTGAGTCATAACAGTTTATCCTCCGAGTTTTTGGCTTCTACTCCAAGCTCCAAACAGCCGCCAACACCTCCCAAAGTTGGATCCACGGGAGGCGGCCTTGACAACAAGCATCATCCGCGGCTCGTGAGGGAAGAGCCGCAACCTAGGCTAGCTGTGCTGTTGCACGGGGCTTTACATTCCTGGCTTCTTCTGTAGAACCCTCAACCCCAAATCCAGAGCATGAACCAACAACCTTGTACTCCAGAACTGCGTCAATAAGCATCCGGAACTCCCTGCACTCATCGCGATGTAGCCTGGATCTTTTATCGGCCGCGGCCTCGAGAATTCCTTGGAACCCTGGCAGGATGAAAAGAATTCAGGTGTGTCGGGACACATTCCGACTCTTAAGGAGGGCTGGGCGGGACCTTTCCCTGCCACTCCAAAACATGCATGCGTTTCGGAATCTCAGAACTGCTCCTCCTCCTCCTCCTCCTCCTCCTCCAACGACCGGCCGACCGACCGACCGCTGCGACTGCTACTGCTACCGCTGCTGCTACTACTACTACGACCACTACTATACTACTCTACCTGCTGCTGCAAACGCTGCTACCATGATTGGGATCCACTCAGCTCGCAGACTATTTTCGACCCTCACTACGCACACAACTGAGCAGGTGCAGCTCACCCGGTCTGTAAACTTAGGTTTTAAGCTTAGAGTTGAGGTCCAATCCTGAACTCCTCTAAACCCCAAAGCCGACTTCCTGATGCTGAACTACCCACCTGGCTATGCTCGCCCTGACAACTTCAACCCAACGGTTTAGGGCGCTGCACATAGGATTTGCGGCTTGGGCGAGTGGGATTGCAGTGCCAGCAGTTGCACCAGTCATTGGTAGTTCTCAGGACAGACGCGTTCGTCACAGAAACCGGGGGCCGCAACCGTAGTCATACGCATCTTTGGCATCTTTGACATCCTAAGCGTCTTCTACCTTGGGAGTCTCAGGGAATAGCCGACCCCTAATATAGACCCCACATATCTCAACCCTTAAATCAACCAAAACTTGAAACATCAAGGACCCTTGGGCCTTACTTACGCTCGCACACCTCGGACAAGCCAGGCGAGGTTCCACACGTGCCTTAATTAGCGGATGCGATCACAACTTCAGGCACTCTGGGCTGCCGACATTGCACACATGATGGCGGTCAGCCATGCGAGGTCGACACTGCAGCCATACCTGGCCATGTAGTTGTTGGGATTCAGGGCTCTAGGTTGTAGGATTGGGGGGTTGCGGGTGGATCGGATTTAGGTTTGGATCCGTATCACGAACTTTTGGCGCGGAGAGGGGCTGTTTCTCGAGATTCATTGGGGTCTAGGTTGTGGATCCTGCGAGCAAGGATTCTGGCAGTTGGGGTCGCAACTAGCGGCTCTGTAACGGTACTCCGTAGTGCAGCCAAACATTCAGAATGTGCACAACTTGGAGAACGAAAGGCATAATGGCGTGAGATGACTTTGTCAAGTACTGTGTTTATTACTGTGTTTGATTCTTACTATTACTATGACATCCAGAATCCAAGCAGAGTTAGAAAAAGAAATCGAAGATCTCTCCAGAAGTCCGTGGACCGGCCGTGGCACACTCCCTGCGCCGCGTTTCGGAGGCTCCGTGTCACGATGGGCTCAAAGAAAACCCGCCGGGACCTTGTGGTCAGGGTTTTCGATTTTTGGTAACGAAATCGCGCTGCTAGCAACACGACAAAAAAGAGGTTCGGGTTTCGGGCTGTGGGTTTGCGACACGGAAGTACACAGGGTTTACACTCTCACAACTCGGACAATCCTGACGAGGTCTATCGAGCGAAGTGTCAAGCTTCTCTCCAAGAAGGGGCTGCAACAAGCAGAATCGGGATTTGGGGAAGAGTAAATTACAATTTCAGGTTGTAGGGCTGCGGGTTGACCGGGCCCAACGTGAACTTGTCAGGCTGTCCTTCTGTGGTGCAGCGGTCGGCGTCCGAACTCCGAACTCAGCAGTAAGTTCCTAACTGGTCCACGAATCAGCACGCAAAGCTGACAGAGATCGACGATCGCGCCGTGCATCGTGCCAGTGATGAGAGTGAGATTTCACAACCTTTGCGCGAAGCTCGCGGGACTTTGGTCGTCGCCTTTTGCATCGACGTCTGCGATGGGCGAAGGGTCTGGGGATCACCTCGAGAGAAGGGTCCCAATTCGCACAGCACTCCTCTACACCATATGGGGGCGAGATGACCTGGATGATAATGCCGGTTATCGCCACAGCTTCGCTGCTGACCACCACTGCCTTGCTTGCGACTTTGCCACGGACTTGCATCACTTTCGCTGGGTCGTAGCGTACCTCGACTATCATGCGGCGGAACATGCCATCACCGTCGAACCCCTGGTGGGGCCCGGCATTCTCTAGCGAGCGCAGTGGGCTCCCAACAGAACCTGGTATTTGATCACAAAAAGGCAAGAAGTCTGTACAAACACGCGGCTCAAACCAACAGCACCACGTCACCTATGATGAGATCACCTCGCATATTACCTGGAGAGGCTGAAAGCCTTGGTGTGCCATCATCATCTGGAACCTACAAAAAAGCATCCACCCTTTGAAGAGCCTGTTGCTTGACAATGTGGAAATGGGCATCATGGTCGGGATCAAAAATGGCTATTGGACCTGCTATTTGCTTGTATTCGTCAGCATATGTCTCCAGCAACCAGTCAGATTTGGGGCGACCCACCCTCCTTGTCGAAACAGTCCTGGGCCTTAGGTTGTCAGAATGAAATACCACCTGGTTTAAAGGGTCTGATCCGGGTGATCTCAGGAAGTGACCAAAAAGATTGCGCCGTCCCTTTACAATCTCCCAATCTGTTGGCCATGTCCGCCTCTATGTCGAATGTGTCAGTGAGTAAAGTGTCTAGGTATGTCGCTGATCTCTGTCTTGGGACTAGTCTTCCTGCAGCTGGTCCATCGTCAGAAAAAAGTTCTGATGAAACTCTTTGGTTTGCTGTAAGATCCCCGCACTTCCCATAATTCAGTTTCAACCCGAGGTATGTGGCTGATCTCTGTCTTGGGACTAGTCTTCCTGCAGCTGGTCCATCGCCAGACTGATGAAACTTTTTGGTTTGCTGTAAGATCCACGCATTTCCCATAATTCAGTTTCAACCCGTAGTAAGAACTATGCCATTTCAATTCCGAGAGAGAGAGAGAGAGAGAGAGTGAATCGAAAGCCAGCAGTTGTCAATTGTCTTTTCTCGACGAAAGCAGGGGATGCCAGGGCAAACTTCTTGGTAAATGCGGTGTATGCGGAATCAGGATCGAAGTCCCGTTTCCTATTCAAAGCTTCACAGCATCACCACCTCCTCAGGACCCGTTGGAAGGCTGCTTGTTTCACCCATGTGCACAGATCAAGTCCCCAACAGGGGTTCGTTGCAGGCTGGCTGCATTGCACGGGCGCACCCAGTTTCACGTCTCACGATTAAGAAACAGCGTTCATCAGCCTTCGGAAGGGGGGACAGGCTGTGGAGGCAAGGCCACCCATCAAGCACAGCAAGCCCCAAGCCGCTCAGAACCCACAAACAGTCGACTTCGTAGGCCAGCAAGAGGAAATCCCGGACCCCGGATGCCGCATAAAGGTTCCCAGTGACAGTGCGTAGGTCGGCGTTGCACCTTACCTTCCCCAGAGTGCAAGTGAACCCTCCTCCGCCTCCAATGAGGAACTGTTTCCGTGTGCAATCAGCATAGCTCCGCATCTGCGATGTGTGCTCTCGCCGGGGATAGAGAGAGACCCTGTGCTACGATCCACTAGCGAGGGCAGGAAGAAATCCAAGGAACAAAGCAATTCAGTCACGCTGGCAGGCTCCCCAACCTCGCCAAAACCAAGGCTAAACAATCATCGTCATAGGCACAGCACCATTTGTACCATCGAAGCGGGTACTTAGCCGAGTCCTACATGCCAGGGTGATTTGCGTGGATTAATATGCATGCGAAGAATGTGTGCATGTGCAGAGTCCAACTTCTCTCGAAGACAGACGCTTCTTTAGGCCGGAAGCCGAGCTCTCAGAGCAGTATGTAGGAGTCGTTAAATAGGACACATACTAAGAACCTGCGCACTCGGTGATATGCAGAAACTAGCACAAGAGGCTAAACTACGATCACAGTGTGATTTCCCGCTTCGCGATACTGCTCACAAATGCTACAGGTACTACTCTGGAACTAAGACTCCGAGCCAATGCCCAACTTCCTGCTGCATCCGAAGATTCATTTGCTTTGCGAAGGGCAATCCGCTTCGGCGGCCCCAGTCTTCGCAGATCGACTCGTGGTAGAGATCCTGAGGCAAAAGCCCGCAACAGCGAGGCCTGGTATCTGTTCTCGGGCGACAGTGCCTAGGGCTTTCTTTTGTACAGGCTCGTAGACTTGGGAACCCCAGTATGCTTTATGCGAGAAAGGAACTGTGAGGTTTCGGGCCGTAGAGAGCTGCTGCCAGGGTTGCATGGGTTCAGCGCAGAAAGGTGGGTAGAAAAGAATGAGAGATCCCGGCGACAGTAGTAAGACAATGAAACAGACAAGAGAGTCTCTCTCTCCTCCCTCAATCCTGCTGCCTAAAGCCTGAATGAATGCTGAGCCATATAGCTGCCGCACATCCGCTAGCACTCGCAAGCCCGTCGTATCCAGGATCTTTTGAGGCCAACACCCGGGATTTCCTCCGAAATAAATCGACGCAAGGGACAGCGGCGGTTCTTCACGACAAAAAGCTCGAGCTTCAGGGCTAGGGCTGTGGTGAGAGCACGATGTGGAATGCGTGTAGATGCCGGTCTCGAGGCAAGAGAGCAGCTTTGGTCCAAAATGCCAGCAGCGCAGCGGTTTGCACGCTTCCGGGAATCGTACTGTGCCCTCAAACAGCAGATACTAATCCGAGTCTCGTCGTTGGGCGCCGGCACGGTTTCCGGCGTGCGCCCTGCAGGCTCGTGAGTCGGCTTGCGACTGCCAGAATTATGTGTAGGGCTTTACAAGGTTGTGGGTTCAACGGGTTGAGGTTCAAATCCCCACAACGACCGTCTAGGCATCAAGGTCGAGACAGGGCTACAGCAAACATGCTTCAGTATGGGGCTTAGACTTCTGCTAGGGCTAAGCCTAGTTGACTCAGTAGGTTTTTCCTTCCTTTAGCAATAACAACAACGAAGTCCGACACGACTATGCTAACAGGCGCGACTCCACTCGCAAGAGGTCAGGAACAACACGACAAGAAGAGCTTAGGAATATCTGCTACTTTGGATAGGAACTCGCCCTGGCCCTGAAATGACAGATGCGATTTGCCAGCAACCGGCGTGTGTTGCAACAGCAGTCGAAGCCGTGGTCGGCATTCTACTACCGGCAGGGGCAGCAGCGGCAGCTCAGTAGCAATAGCAGTGGTGGTCATTCAGCGGCAGACTTGGAACTTGAACTCGAAACTTGGGAAGCTCATTCAGTCTTTGGGTCGACTGCTTCTGCTCATGGCCTTCTAAGGACCTCCGGAGCCGTCTCTGCAAGAGCGCGAGGGGCCTGATCGGGAAGCTCTTCAGCATGCACCGCTGCTACTGAAGCAGCTTCTTCCACACTCACCCCCACCCCTACTCCTACTCTTGCCGTCTGCTGCCACGACGACGACAACGGCAAATATTGCTGCTACAAGTATCAGCATCATCGGTTGCTTCCTCTTCTTCTTCTTCTTCTACCGTCGTGGTCATCACTAAGACTCGTTTTCTGTGCAGGGCACGGTGCTGACGTCGACACCACCATTCCTTCTTCTGATGGCGTCTACAGACACGGTTTCAAAGCTTTTCCCCGTTGCGACCCCTTGACTCTGGACCCTAAACCCACTTCCCGACCTCCTACTACAAGCTGGCAGACTCCATGATACAACTGTCGCTGATATCAGCACTTGGACTCATTTGCTCTTACATCCTCACCACCGAAGAGACTGGCAGCCCCGAAAGAGCAGCGGGGCTTGGGCTCTACGTCTCAGGATCGTTTAGGAAAATGGGGGACGTCCACTGTCGAAGGATGTGGTAAAGAACTTCCAGCACACAAGCTCGTTATCTCAACAGGGAAAACCTCATTGTCAAGCTAAGGCTTTCCGGGGGCAGTCTCACACCGTGTCGCTTTGGGGTTTGAAAACCAGAACCTCTGACTCTTGAAGCCCGAAGCCCAGGAAGTTTGCAAAGCTGCACAGACCCATTCTCTGCTCCCGAAGCTCCTTGAGCCTCTAAAGGGCCCTAAAATTAAAAGCCCCTAAAAGATCCGCAAGCTCTGGCCCTCTGCACGCACACACCCTCTTAGGCCTTAGCCTTTCTCCCTTCGTGAGGCGTAACGCTTCCCGAGGCTCCGGCTCCTCGGGCCTGAGCTCCTTGGGCTCCAAGGCACCAGCCTCGGCGGCTCTCTTTGGAGGTTCCAAGGCTCTCGCCGGAGGCCCATGGGTGAAAGCAAAGGCTTCCGGTATGTTGGCGGGGCCTTGCCAACCCTATGCTGACTGAGGCCTCAGTGCATTTGTCCCTGCTCGTCGTTCCGACCAACGATCCCTTGCGCAAAGAAGTCAAAACATGGCAACTTGCAAACCTACCCGACGTACCCATTCCAATTAGTTCGTCATCGGCGTGCCTCCTCCTCATAGAAGCGGAGCAGGTCTGCGAAAAGCGCCTTTCACAAGCAATCCACTTGCTATCTCGATGGCCTACCAAAGATACCGATAAGTCAAGTCTACTCCGAACTTCCGAATTCAGAGGAACACGGAGCCCGGACCTCGTTTTTTCGGGAAACCCTTCGCCACGAGAATGTGACGTGGCAGTAGTATCAGATTCATGACAATAGCTCAAAACACTTCAACCAACAATAGTAGTATCATCACATGGTACATCTAAACAGTGAAAGAGGAACACGACGACCATGACAGCTATGCGACAACCAGGAGACCACCTGCTAAAATGCTTCCCCCAAGTACGCACTATAGCGAAACTGCCTTCGCGCAACTTACTTTCGCGATTCGATACTGTGGCGCGGCGCTTGTGGTTCCCCCCAACTGGCGGGATTCCCAAGGACGACCTGAATCCTTCCCCGGAATTCAACTTTTCCGAGGGCCAGGAGTGGCAGACATACTGTACCAGCCCTGTCGCCTCACGGGTCCTGTGCAAATCAAAGGATGCGAGGAACAATGCTGTGTCCTGTTAAAAATATTAGGATGTGGACAGCCTTTTTTTCCCGCGTGCCTGCAGGACGTGCGGTAAGAACAATGTTGCCCTAGAGCCTAATGTTTATACTCGGTTCAGTCGGCACCGGAACCGTTTGCAGGTTATGCATGGGAGGGCATGAGGAGGTCGAACACGCTCGAACACTGGATTTTAAGCGTATTTGCGATATCAAATGCGGGACCCTCCCCTGCAAGCACAGCGGAGTGTTTGGCAATCAGAGCCGCACATCCAATTGCTTCTGGCGAATATGGCATATGGGCATGTGTGTAGAAGTTTATTGCAGCTTGCTGCACTGCACAGCTGTCGTTCTGACATGGTACGGCCGCAAGTGCTTGTGTGTGTGTGTGTGCGCGTTCGTCTGTGTGTGGATGCGTGCGCATAAATTTGTCCATATGTGCTTACATAAATGCATCAGTATAACGATGTCCGTAGCATGTAAGTGTGCACATGTACAATGGTTTGGTTGGCCTATCAATATTTTCAGACTTTCAACATGGAGAGACTCCCCAGCCCGCCCACCTAATAGTGATGACGCAGGCCATCGTGCATGCAGAACGCTTGCGATCCTAATCCGTGGCGTCAGCATTACGATTGAGGCTGGTACTGTACAGCAAATGACTATGGCGTAGCCAGCATCTCGCACGGCCTGACCCGACAATCCGTCGGAGTAGGCATGGGTGATGCTGACATAGACCTGGAGCAGAAGCGCTTCTCAACCTGATTCTGACCGCCGAGACAACTTTGAACAGATTTTGTAGAAGAGGTTTGCTGCATCTCACAGTACAACGTCCGGTTGTGAGCTGCTAGGTCGAACTATGTCATCATTGACGATATTGATGGCGCTGGCGTTGCCATGGTCGTCAATCCCAAGCCCTTCAGCTGCTATCGCGACTATCATTCACTGTTGGATTCTTGGCTTTGGGGGTTGTGGAAATGCCCCAGCGAGCTGCAAAGAGTGTGGGATAGTCCCCTCTTCTTCGCATTGCAGTGGTACTAGTAGCAGTAGTCGTCGTCGTAGTAGTAGTAGCAGCAGCAGCAGCGGCAGCAGCAGCAGCAGTAGCAGTAGCAGTAGCAGTAGCAGCAGCAGCAGCAGTGGGAGGAGCAGGAGGTGATTGTAATTGCAATAAAAATCGAAATTGTAGTCATAATCTTAATCGTAGTACTAGTAGCAGTAGCAGCGACAGTAGTAATAGGAAATAGCACTAGTCACTAGTACTAGCATTGGCATAAGTACTGGTGGCAGTAGTTGTTAGAGCTGCTAGGTGTCGAGTCCGTTGTGTGATATGAGCTCATGCACGGTTTGCAAGCGACGATGTGAGGAGTGAAGGCGCCTTTGTCGTCGACCGCTTCATGGACAGGCGCGACTTTTCACAAGAGGGACACAAGAATAGCTGAACAAGGGCTTACTCCAAAGACTTGATACTCCGTCTAAGTAGCAGGCATTTACAGAAGCCCTAAAAGACAGATGTACAGGATTGGAGAGCTTGAACAGCATCGCATGATGCAGCTCGGCAAAGCTCCAAGGATTTCCAAAGCATCTCCTCATGAGCATCGTGCAACATCTGCACCCCAGCAGCCCACCGATGAAAGCAGTACGATGAATTTTGTCTGGCCCGTGGCTGTCAGGCCCAGGCCTTCGAATGCTAGGTGCGCATGGCTCGTGGTGAGAACAAAAGAAAAACTGCCGCGTCGTAACACGAGAAACCACCCTTAGAAGGACAGCAATATTGGTTAGACAACGAAGAACCACAAGCTGCAATCAGGAACCCTGACAAAGAGCCCCCCTCTTTGGACTTGCAAAAAGCGATGGCGCAGGGCTGCCAGGCCGATCTGGCAACTCATCCCTGAGAATGCATCCCATGATCTCCTCCCCCCCTCTCTTTGTGGAACCCTCCAGCCTATGGGTTGGGGTTTGGGGGTTTAGTTTATTTAGGCTCTAGGACGCCCGGATCTTCGTATTGCTTGGTGCAAAGTCTCTCACGTGATGCCAAGTCCAAGAACCTTTGGGTTCACATGCGCCCAGTTGCATACCACGCGATCTCGGAGGGAGACTTCCTGCAGTCGTGGATCTTTAAGTGAAACTACTGCCTCGCGGCTGAGCGCTTCGGAAGCCCTCTGGTCTCGAGAGAGAATGGGGTTCTCGGGCTTGCATGTAGGTCCCAAATCTGGCTGTTGATCGCGGGAACGCTTGCTGAGGTCTGACCCATGAAGGCCACAACAGAAGGGTAAAAGACCCTGAGCTTGGGCCGGGCGTCGATAATGCTGCCTCGAGGGTGGTGGTGTGCTCGGGAGCCTGTAGAAGACAGGACATCAGCGTTTGCTGCTGAGGCTTGCTCAGGTTCAAAGTTACAATCATCGTAGCTCCTTTCCAGTCAGTCCAACTGTCGGCTGCGGATCAGTGGCATCCGAAATCGAAATCCAGCCTCTTGGCCAGCCGGCCATGGGACACAATATGAGACGTTGTTTTGCTTCCAGCCTGCTGCAGCCTCTGCTGGGAACCATGAGAAAACTTTGCTAAATTCAGAAACCGAACGTACCTGCAGCCTCGGCAGTTGACTTTTCGCGTTTGCAAGCTGTTAGCACTGTTAGCAGAACCACGAGACTAAGAAAGGGCTTGAGATAGTGAAGTGAGTTTGAAAAGCGCATAGATCAAGCTGAGAAATAGAGAGGGCTTAGTTACTGTGCCTTGCAAATCTTCCCCCCCAAAAGCAAACTGTTTCCACAGTCGGCTTTTGGTTTTTGCAAGGGCTCCAAATGGCTCCAGAGAGCGCTCCAAAGCCTTCGGGGCAAATCAGAATGCTGAGAAGTCACTTCCCGATCCTTAAATCCTGAAAGTCAATGCCTGAACCTTAAACATTGCTAAACCTCTGACGCCTTATACAATGTCTAAACCTCAATCCTAAACCCTTATGTAATTCTAGTCCCTGCCGACACCTTGCAGGTTCCTTGGCTCTGCCTGCCGAACACCTCTGGAAACTTCGTCGTGCCCGGGGTTCTGAATTCTGCGTGTCGGGATGGTCCATCCCAAATCCAAGAACTCAAGTCCAGCATGTAGGTACATGATGGTATAATCCTTTATATTGTAGGGGCATAAGGCAATCAGTGGCAATCACTATTTATGAGAAGCTTTTGGTGTGTAGTTTACTTGTAGGTTTAGGGGACATTAGAAATACGGGCATTCAAGCTCTACATTGCAGGCCTCGCCCTTGAAGAGGGGCAGCACGGCCACATCTGCCGGCCAACGGCGTGGCTGCAGGAGATCCGTGATGGCCCCATGTACGTACCTTGAGTGCGTCTTTGGGGAGCCATCTCCCTTCGGGTGGGGGGTTGTTCTAAAGTCGGATCCCTGCCGGGTATCATGAGTCGATGTGAGTCGTAGTGGTGGTTCGGTGCCAGAATTAGTTGTTGTTATCTTCGAACTTAAACTCAAGAGCCTCCAGACCAAAGGTGTGGGGAAATGGCCCATCCATGAGGGGACGTAAGGCAGCAAGAGAGAGCCACAAAGCAGTCTCTTCGATTCGAGACAGGGTTTTCGTCTCCGGTTGCGGGTTTCATATCGGTTCGCAGGTTAGGTTCAGGATGCTGGGCTTCATGGTTCGTCCAAACTGTCATGCAGTCGACATGCTACAGCCAAGGGAGCATGCAAGCAAGCGGTGTTTAAATTGTGTGCATTGGAGCACGACGATTTCAATCGAAAAACAGCTCTCTGTCCATGTGGGGCTTGCGCTTGACTGCTCAAAGACATCGGCTTCCTGCAAGGATGCTGTACTTGCACATGTCTAGATTTGAGCCCCAAAGCCTCTCCGCCTCAACGAACTGAGAGCTGCCCAATGATTCTTACCCGGAGCGCTTCTTACCATCATGCATGAGGACTTTGTGCACGACTTTTCGGTAGCGCAGCTTTGGTGATAGAGTATAGTATAACCATGCCAGGTTGAAAGAAGGCTCGGTGGTGCTTTCAAAGACGCGGCCCCAATACAAACTTCAAAACTCGAAGCCTCTAGAAAGTGTACCCCGTCGTTATAGTTAATTGATCTAAGAACCTCCATAGCGACAGCATATTCAAGAGCCCATAGTAAAGCTAACTCCAAGAGGCTGGTCGTGCGTGGCCCAGTCCCAGCGTGGTAGCCTTACTCTTCCTTCCATCAGCTGAGGGATTCGGACCTGTGGACGGAGGCTTCCTCAAAATGTGCTGCTATAAGTCAAAAGGATCTGGCGAGACTGGCCAGGACACTGCCAAGATGACCATCCATCGAACATGCTGTTTTTTTATACCACGCACTAAATCTCAGTCCCTTCGAAAACACAAAGATTTTCAAGCTCAGTTCCGGCATCCTGAAAGCCTTGCCCCACTAGGAGCGGAATCCCGAGTTCGAAGCAGCCAACACTGCTACACCTAGTGGTCATTCGGACGGCAACAGGACAACGGCTATTACACTCACAAGAGCAAAAGTGATGACCAGTGAGTGTGACGGACTACTACGGCGACGACGACAACAACGACGAGGACGACAACAGTGCCGGTGATCATAATAGCAGTAACCGTCAATGATCGCAGTAGCAGGAATCACAAGGAGACATCCAGTGCGAGAGCAACAGTTTGGCAATGATGGTGTCCAGCCTGCAACAAGACTCCTCCTCTGACCAGGTCAGGTGCCTTCAAGAATAAACTAGCTTTTGGGGTGTGCGCCTGCGGTAGGCTCCTATGGTCGTAGCCTTGACAGCATCCTCGCCAGCGGTTCAGTTTTTGAAACATTCGGCTTCCGAGCCCGGCCCGTAACCTTCAACCCTGCCTGAGACTATGCCAGATTTTCTCCAACACCCTTCTCATCCCTTCTCGGCCATGTTTCGGGACATTGCGCAGCACATCTTTTTGAGTAGTCCCGGCCTCCAGAAGTGTGTCCTGCATGGGGCGGCTTGCAGGCTTCGAGCTGTGAGGATGGGCGCTTGCCACTTCGAATTTCTGAATGCCATGGCTTTGGTAACCCAGGCCGAAACAGTTTGTGGCTCCCAGACCCCATTACCTTCAACCCGAAACTTGAGTTACAGGTTTTTGTGGTTTGTACGGCGCTCAGCTGTTGTGTGGCTATGCCGGCGAGGATGTTAACATGTGTCACCAAGTTGGTTTCAGAGAGGTGCAAACGAGGACATGAACTTTCCGAGAGGTGGTTCAACCGCTGTACAGATCATTCTTTACCCGGCCTATCCGAGTCATCCTACCCGGTCCTACCCGAGCCCAAAACCTGAGGCTCCCTCTTCCTGAACCTACAGTAGGGCCAGTAGGGGTTTGCAGGTTTTGGCTTGATGATGGGTGACAGGGTTTCAGGTTGCCCGGGGTTCTCGGTTTGTCCATTACATTTGATTCCTTGCTGCCTCAGCGCTGCCGATGATGCTTCGTGGCCAGCAAGCAAACAAAGCAGCAGAGATGTAGCCGCGAAGCCGCCTCGTGAACGGGCGTACGTTCTAAATCAGCTCACACATTGTCCTCCACAAATCTTTGTGAGCATCCCACCTCAACAACCTACTCGTGAATATGACCGAGTGCGTCGGGGGTGTTACACAAGGCTACGTGGTTTTCTGTCTCTGAGCTTGGGATTCTCAACTCAGGAAACACTTCGAAAGCTCTTTGGGATTGCAGGGCTTGAGGGCTTGAGGTAGTCATTGCCTGCCCATTCCAACTGCAGGCTTGCCGCGTCCACCAAACGGCATCCGAGCCAACAGAGCTGTTCCACAATTGCCATATGCCAGCAGCCTGCACTTGGCTGGTTTAAGATACCTCTTGCAGGTGGGTTCTGGCGCTCTAGCATGAAGAAACTTGAGCATGCCTCAAGAAAAACACGAGAGAACAGGTGTCACGACGGGCTAACTCGGAAACATGTGAGCAGGACTGGACTAGACAGCGCAGGGGGTATGCAGGGCCACGTATCAGTTTTCGGACAAATAGGCTGGGAATCTCGAGCTGCCGAAGTCTCCACTCTGCCTGTCCGGGGCTGCAGTTAGGGCATCTTATTCGGGTGTTCAAAAAACATCCCGCTCCAACCACGAAAAGACGAAGGCGAAACAGTAATATGCAATACGGCAACAGCTACAAACTGGCTACAAAGCCTAGGTCCCGAACCTGAGAAGCCGAGAACACGAAACACAAACTCGCCCCGCGCCAAGACTCGCCCAAAGTCCGAAGTCCACCGTGGATAGGAATGCTGCAGCTGCCCCGCTGTAGCGCTGCATTTTTGGACCGACTCTCCTGTAGACATGAACCAGTCTTCCACGTAGCGACCTTGCCCAGCATTCGCTCTGTATGGCTATCATCATGGCCTTGTCAATGGCTTCGCGAACGGGCTCGTCCGGGGTCTCCCGCATTCGGAGTGCGCTGTGCCTGGAGTTGCGGCACGAAGCTTGCCTAAGTAACATGGAGTAATTATGTCGACAAAGTGTGCATGGGGACACACTCTGACTTATATGAGCCTTGCAACATCGTTAAGCCGAAAGAATGCCTCGCTTCCACCAGTATTGAGCTTTCTCAAGCCTAATTCTCAAAGCATCACTCAATTCAATCCTCAAGGCAACATCTTGCTGGCCGGCTTACCTCTTCAAGAAGCTTCCACGAAACTTTGGAGCCCCACACCCCCGACCCTGAAATCACTGCCCTCCAACCCCTGCCCTGAAAACTAACTTTTGCAACATGTAGCTGGGGAGCCCGAAAGGAAACAAAAGCGTGAAAAAGCCTAAAACGCTGGAGCTCCTCGCCACCAAGCGATTCACAGCGCGCTGCATGGCGTCCACATCCAGGTGGCCTTCGCCCGTGTAGCCTCGGTTTTTGAGCCCGAGGTTCTACGGAGCGTTGGTTGCCCCCCCGACTGGTATACGGCTTCCGCGGCTTCCGGCTTTAATTAGGAGATTTCTTGATCGACGATGCTTCCGAAGACGCCGGCCCTCGGTGGAATGTGGCTTGAGCTTGAATCGTGTCAGACCTTTGCGAGTTTTAGCGGCATTGGCCACTCCGCCGGTCCCAAACGAAGGGAGGCAAGGCCAGACAAGGGAGACTGAAGTAGACATGTAAGAAAGACAAGCGCTGAAATCCTCGGCGCCCTTGTCTCTGAAAAAGGATGTATGGTCAACTTTGGCTTTACGGGCGGAAACCAGGACTCCAGGACAGCATGAAGCAGCAGTGCGTCGACAGTGGACAGCACTTGGGGCGATTTGAGTTTCCTGCGGCAGGCAGGGATGGCTAAAGTTTAGAACACTTTTGGGTTTTGGTTGTTCTGTTCATTCGGCTTTCATGGGAGGGTTTGCAACCTATTGCAATTTTAGGAGGGGGTTGGGGGCGGGGAGGGAAGCCAAGATTTCAGGTGTACTCTGAAGTCCCCAACCGCGGATGTCCATTTCGCCATGATGCGAAGGCACCAATCTACAGGATGCCTGGGGAACCTCAGCGGTTTGCGCAGGATTTATGCAGCACCACCGCCCAAAAGTGAACGTCCAGAATCCCTAAGCCAAACCCCAAACCAGAAACCCCAGAAGCCCAGAAAACCACAAGAGGGGGAATTTCTGTGCGTGGCGGCGGTGTCTTATTCAACTACGATGTCTTGGTGCACGCTTTGAAGCATGATGCTTTGCAGTTGAAGGTTGGGGATTTCGGCAAAGTTCCTACACTGGCAGGAAGAGCAATCGTTTGACTGTCATCCACACTTTACGAACTTACGAGAATGTTGCAGGGTAGCTACATCGAACACGTCGAAGTCGTGCAAGTTTCATCAGTTGTATCATGTCAGAGTACAGAAAAGGCTACTTCAAGCTTTTGGCGAACACCACAACGTCTTCCAAGGTAGGCTGAAAAGCTGGCCTATTCTCCGGCATCTTAGTTCGCGACACTGTGTTGTCTATAGGTGTCTTAAACAACTGTGGCACGCACTGACTCACCCTCCAACCATCTTAGCCTTGCAGCAAATTCCTTCTTGGGGCGGTTGTTGGGGGGCGGTCCGTGCAGGGTGTACAGAGTGTGTTCAGACTGATGAACTCTGTGACCGTTCCGGGTTGGCCGCCTTCCATCAACTCGAGCGAAAAACCGTCGCGACAACAATTTTCAAATGAGAGAATGACAAAACTCAGGTGGAAAATCAAGGACCACCAACTCCTGAATCCCGAACTGTCACAACAGCAGAGCAACTGCAGGACGAACACCCTGTAGTTTCCATCTGAATCCTGAGGCTCTGTCCGCAGGCTATGGTGTGGTAAGTCGCATGTAGGGACTTACGGGTGACGATCCTGGAACAACTCTGGCGCACAGCGCCTTCTACGTATATCTTATTGAGCTTGTCTTGCTGACGCCCGGCTTAAAACTTTGCAGGTGTAGTGGTTGTGGGCGTCAGATTGCTGGCTATAGGGTCTTTGGCCTTCTGCAGTCGAATTTAGCACCTGTAGCCATTGTAGCCGATACGGAAGCATAGCGCATCCTCGCTTCAACCACAACGAAAGCGTCACACGAAGGGTTCCAGATCCAAAGTATGGAAGCCGCACAAACTTGGTACTTCGTCGTTGAAACGGTGGCTAAAGTCCGTTCCTCGAGGGTTTCAGGGTTCAGGGATTGAGCTGCACCGTACGTTGCTGAACTTCGCGTATGAAGGGCTTCGCAAGATGGAGCCGAAACTTACGGCTTTCGAATCACACGCACGCACACACAGACAATCACTCACGCGAGTATGCAATCACACACGCACACAGACACAGACAGTCGAACCAACACAGACAGACACAGACACAGACACAGACAGACACAGACACAAACAGACAGACAGACAGACAGACAGACAGACAGACAGACATACGCACACCCACACCCACGAACACTTCCGCAGCCACCCACGCCCACCCAGTCACGCATTACGCTGTGCAGCGTAGGGTGGAGCTTTGAGGTGCGTCAAACTCTTCCGCTTTGCCTCCGATGGGAATTTTGATGGTCAACATCCCCTGGGGTGCCGGCCGGCTGCCCGGCGCAGTCAACGGCCTCCTGTTTGCAGGCCCGAAGCCAAAGCTCGCAGGCGAAACTGTAGTTTCGGATGCCCTGAACTCTAAACCGCGTATCTTCAAACGTCGGCTTTTGTTTCGGGCCGTCTTAGCTTCTCCATAACGTTCTGGAAGGTGCTGGAGTTCTTTTGGCTCGGTTGGGCTCGACGGGCTTGTCTGCAGGATTCCACACCCATGCTGATGCCGAAGGAGGGTGTGCAAAGCGATAAAACAACCACAGATCGTCAAAACGGAAACCGTCACAGCTGCATTTGGGGATATCGAGCCAAGTCCGGGTTCAGTAATGAAGACTGCTTGGAACGCTGCACTTGCCCCCTTGGATGTGTTCAAACACTGATCAGCGTAGAGCGAAATTGTACAGCTTTCAAAGTGCGAAGCATGCTGCGGTTCGCCTTTTCGACAATCGCACTCGGACCAGCTGATATTGTTATGGACATGATAATGTTGACCACGGTTTACGGCGAAGCAACCGTGCGACCGCCATCATTAGCTACTGTTGTCCACACTTTTCTTGCACTGCTGCCAGTTTTTTCGTGGTGCTGGTGAGAATGGTGATAAGCTTTCCCGTCGTTATTGCAGCGTCTCAACTACGGCTGGCCCAGTCCTTCGTCTTACGCCTCACTGTAAGCATGCAGACTGTGACTCTTGTTGTTGGGACGGGTTCTGGCAAGTTGGGCTTTTCACTGTCAGTTGTCTAATAGCGGCGTCAAAAAACCCTTTATTTTCTATCATTTGCACGCGTCCTAAACAATCAGGCTTGCTGTGCCAAGGTGTGCGTAGCCGTAGCCCTGTGTTGAGCAATGTCAAGATGGCCGCAGCTTCCTCCTGAAATCTGAAGTTATATGTGTATGTTCTGATGGAACTTCCACATGTTTCCGCACGGGCCTGAAAGCTGCAGGCGTCCTTGAGCGCTGCACCGAGTTCCTCCGACATGTCTCGGAGATTGCGAAGGCTGTAAACGGCTCTGGCCCCTCAACCCGAAACCTAAATCCCTGACACCCCAGTTTGGTTTCCATTGCCTGAACTGTGCCCTGGGGACTATGAAAACAGGTGCCGACCAGTCTACAGCAGTTTGGAGTGTATCGTCTATATCGTCGTACGGGTTCGAGGTGTAGCACTCAGACACTCCAGCGAAGCATTTGGTTCGTGGTCTGCTGGGCTACACACGTACATCAAGCAAGCCTGCTGACAACAACTATTTCAATAGATGAAACCTGCTAAAAGGCAAACCAGCAAGCTTGCCACTAACGTCCACTATTGCTTGCATGCGTATCTCCTCGTGAATACGGCGGCAGTCCCCCTCAGCGCCCTCTCGATCCGACGACAATGGCACCAGTTTCCAAAGCAAATGCGTTGTCACAGGAGTACTTCGTTTCCGGCATTCCCGAGGATGGTTTCTGGTGGAACGCATGACGCAAGCAGCACCAATTTTTTCCGAGAGAAAGAGCCGATCTGGGTCATCAGCTTTAGCAGCAACTGGCTGATGCATGTGCTACATTAAAGGACTCAGTGCTTTAGCCCTGGAGTACGGGAGTGTGACTGCGCCCATCTTAGGCAAGTTGGTGCATTGGATCCGAATGTCTTCAAAAGGCGCGATGAATGTTGCCGATCCATCATTGCTGATCCGCCCGATCATAGTGGGTAACTCTGAATTCGCTGTGCTTCAATCCATGTGGGAAGACTTGGAGAACAAGTACGACAAACTAGCAAATACCTTCTTGCCACCGGAAAAGATACCCGAAAGTTTTGCGCAATTCTTCGCTCCAACATACAACACGGAACCCCTCAAACACTGCACAGGAGCTGGAACTTGACAGAAGCTAGATATATCTCTCTTACAAGTTGCTTGGCTGCTGGGAAAGCAATGGCATGAGGAGAGAAGGGGCGGGACGGGCATTTAATCTCTGACCGCCTCTATCGAAAGTTGTCCGCCATCGTGTTGATCTTGCAGGCTCTGGGGAGCTCACGGTTGCATCGTCTTGCCTGCAGATGCCAGGATAGCAAGCCGGAGATGAGCTTGCATCGACGTCACGCAGATCAGCCACCAATGAGTGGACCAGCACCGGGCCCAGCGCAAGCCAACGACAGCATACATGTGCTGACATTGGTGGGGGCGATTGGAGGAGCTCATGAAGCTCGCAACGAACATAGCTGGCAAACCATCCTCACCTGGATCTCATACCGGAATTGACAACACAAGCTGACCTCCTCAAAATCGACTCCGACATCATTCGAGGGCTGCAAGATGGGAGTAAATTGGTCTCCAGCGCCGCCCGCGCTGAAGATCGCAGCCAGATGTGAAACCTGCACAGTATGCTGAGCGACGCCCATTACCGAATCATGCAGCTAGTCAGTGACTGCTGCAAGGAGGAAGTCAAACGACTGACGCAAGATGCCCGCAAGATTTGGTTCGGGACACAGGGGCTCGAGGCGGTGTTCAACCACGTGACGACGGCCATGCAATCCATGAGACATATAGCGTCTGCCTTTCCCCGCATGTTGACTTCAGAAGTCGCTGCGCTGAAGGCAAACTGGCCCAGTGTGTTGAACATCTGTCCGAGCAGAGCTTCAAGGAAAGCTGGAAGCCTTTCTGGCGAAGCTGGATGAGCCAGCTCAAGAAGAGGCTCCTCCCTCAGACCCAGTGGCTTCACCTTCGCATGAAGAGTGCAAGCCTCCCCCAGCATGGCGAACCCTGACGTGGCAACGGCTGGAGTGCCGGTATCACTGGTGCAAGCCATGGGCGGAATGAACGTCCCGCCGGCACACAGAAACGTTGTACATGTGTTCTGGATGTTACGCAGGATGGAACTTGCCCATTGCATGGCCGTCGGGTCAACCTAGACTACACCATATGTGCATGTACTTTTGGAGTGCAGCAGATCGGCCTCCGCCAGCTCCTTTGAATCGTTATAGGCTCATCATGCAGAATTTACTCGCAGGCAGCTCAAGCTATCAAGACGACATTACTGTGGCTATTTCGGACCATGCCCCTATCCTCTGCCCGTCTTCGTCAACGACTGCTGGACGAACTTAGGTCGATGCCGCGAGGGGTAGCTAGGATTGCGGTAGATTGTTTGTACTCGGTAACAGTGCAAAACCAGGATGCAGGATACATACCCTGAGGAAGGGGCGGGGTAGTTCATGACAGCTATGTACTGTTTCTCTTTCTGCTTGGACCTCAACGACTGCCCTAATGCAGACCCTCTTACAAAGTCCTGTCGACTTACTAATGCTAGGGATAGTGAACAAGCCGAAGCGCTAGATGAGTCCGAGACGGATATTGCTCCACCACCCCCTAACTGCCAACATGCGTGTTCCCAAACAGATAGGACCATCCCGCCGCAATGATGGCTCGAGATCCATGTCGAAACCCCTCGCTTCCCAGGTCAACCGCAAGCTTGAGGAATCAAATCCCACGGGAAACTGACAAAGTCCTTACAATAAAAATAGAAGGGACCGGGCAGGTACTAATACTGGGCCTTAACCCTAGAAACCTTGGTACTCTTAGCACAGCGACAGCAGCCCTTCCCAAATATCCTCATACTTCAGCCGGATCGCCCCGCATCACAAATCTAGTACTGTGACCTTGAGGAACAGTGTGGGGAAAGGGTTACATAGGGGCCTGTGAATCCCTGGATACGTGCATGCAGACCCCAAACCAGCTGGAACAGGCAAAAGGCGCTCCAGTGTGTGCAATACACACAACAGTGCCTTGGCTATGCCGTCGGGGTCCAGTCTTCCTCTCATGCATTGTCATGGCATGTCTGTCCTGTCTATTTCATACGGCATGTATTTAGATCCCTCTCCCCATGAACCCGACGTGCCATGAGGTTTTAACACTGTCTGTCCCAATGGCGACACATGTTTCAGTGGGTCCATGTATTGATATTGCTTGACATCCATATACAATATTGTCGGCGTATCACCCTAAAAACCACTAAGCTCGGTCAAAGCCGATGCCATGGATCGGACTGAAGCAACCGCCTTTAGTGGGCAGTTCTGCCGGTATCCGATTGAACACTTTCTTCGAAGGTCAAGAGATATGGGTGAAGTCTTAAGGCTTGAAGCAGCCAAGCGGCTGTTGTGTCAATGGTTTCTCTGACGACGGCAGACTGGCATACACCAAGCGATGCGTGGAGGTTGCAGGAGCTGTCGGTGCTTCGGAAAGACACCGGCCAAAAAGGGGGTTGTGGTGGACAGCGTGACAACTTGCGAGGCGAGATTGACTTTCCGCAACGCCAATTCGGAATTTTTTGTGCAACGATGCATGGATGCAAACAACGCTTGCAAGAAGAAATCATAACTCATGCAGCCGTCGCCAACAGGCCAAACAGCAGCACTGATGCAGTCTGGACTGTGGAACCGGTCACATCCTGGGCCTCTGAACTCAAACTTGCAATTTTGATGACTATGTCAACCGAGTCCCGGGAGCTTGTTGATGCATGCATACCATAATTCATAGTGTGCCATTTATAGTGTGGAATAGAATTAAAGTGAAGAGGGTTGTAGCGAAAACTTCGTCGGTGTTGAAATGTACCTTGACTCGCTGTGCTCTTTACCCCGGAATCGTGAAGATTCCTCGGATCGCGAATCCCCACTACTCGCTCTCTCCCGGGGGCAAACAATCTTGAACGGGCTGTGTAGCGCTATGTCGAGGCGATCCTTTGTGAACCGGTGCTGATGTGATCCGACACGCTTGCAAGCTGTTGCTTCCCGGAAACGGCTTGAGCAAGGTTGTTCAGCTGCAACACGCAGAGGTACTACTTCGAGTCTGCAAATGTGTCCAGCCTTGAGCCAAGATGCTTGCCCGGATTGTCCGAGTGTGAAGGGTTTAGGGCGAAGAGCATTTTAGGTAATGAATCCTGTTGAAGCCGCAAGAAGACTACAAGATTTTATGCGTACGGCATCATTATCGTCGCCACTCTGTGCCGGTGCAGGTCCTCGACAGTGGTACATCGCAGGACGTCCTGACACAGCACGAAGGTGTCCTAGCTGGAACAGCCGAAGTCTCTTGCACAATTCTTGCTGCCACTGCACCGCCACCGAGATAGACCTGCATAGGCGTGCGGCAGCAGAGAAAGCAGAGGCTACTGCTTTGTTTTGGTGCGTTTAAGGAGCTTGCTTCGTGGCTTTGCTCAACGCCCTTCAGTAGAACACAAACTCTGGAGCATTGCTCGGGTGTCGGGACAACTTTGAGCTTATTATTTGCACGTCGAACTGATGTTCTGCTTTTCTGGATTTTGCGGTGCCTGGCTAACAGCGGAGTGTTGGGGGTCTTGTAGAAAAAGAATGGCCCATAGCGGGGTTCAGGGTTCTTACAGCCTCACCACCCTTTTACACCAAGCTGGACCATAGACTCAAGCGTCCGGATTAGGAATCCCAAGCCATGGTAAAGAGAAGCCGTTTGATCTAGGCAGGGGCTTCCTGCTGAACATTGGCCCCAGAGTCATCGTGGAGCTTCAGAGCCTTCAACCACGCAAGGGTCCTGAAATCTTTCCAAGACCCCTCAATGACAATGGCCATGGACTGTAAATTGCGCGCCAAGACTGCCAAAACTTGTTAGAACTAAATCACGTCAGAAACGACTTGCTCTCCTCAAGTTTCTCTGGACGCCGTGGGCCAAACGGTTAGAGAACGAATCATGCGCAATGCTCATAAAAGCTTAGGCCGAAAAGGTTGATCTTTATGCGGAGATGTTGATCTCCCGCAACAGTAACAGGAAGAACAACATCACCATCTACAGCAACAGTACCAGCCAGCGCCAACCCCAGCGACAACTACAACCCACAACACACTGTTTACGGAGACGGCAAGAGCATATGGTCGAAAGGCAGCAGTGAGAGATATGTGCAACTGGTTGAAGAGCTCCTCGTGAAGGAATCTACATGACGGACCTGATCGCTACTGTAAGGTTTATGGCTCGAGAACTTCAGTCAACGGAGCTGTCCGGGTAGTAGTGCTGCTGCTAGAGCTGCTCATGACGGGGGTAGTGGTGGAGCTGATCACAGACAGGGGTTAAGACTTTAAAGAAAGACATTCAAGAACTCAAGCAGCGTCGGCGAAAAAGCCATGGTGAAGATGCTCCAATAGTGATGGCGTCACGGGCATCAATAGCAGCAACAACTGCAACATTGACATTGAGACAGCGCAAGCGCAGAAGCCCTGTCCTACAAGCCTTCAGCCCTAAACACAACAAGCCCTCAAAAGTTACAAGGTCTGGTCCGGCTCCTAATGCGAACCCCAAAGCCTGAAGCCCCATAGCGTCATAGCCCTATACGCTGAAACTCGGTGGCAAGCCTGGAAGCCCTTAATCCACCCCAGGCCTCCCGAGCTCTTTTCGGATCAGCTCGGCCAGGGACACGGCCTGCTTTGGCGGGAGATTGGCGTTCAAACTACAAAAGTCTGTAGGAGCTTAGGGCTTAAAGTATGGATTCAAGGTTTAGGGGTTTAGTACAGGTTCAATTTTTTTGAGGGATGACACTGTGTAAGGATGATCGCGCTGAGTTCGAACATCTTCGCAGCAACTCTGCTGGGGCCAAGTTTCGGGCTCCTGCTACGAAGGGGTTAGCTTTGTGCTTTGCGTTGAGCGCATCGTGGCATCACGATTTCTGCTTCACCCCAAGTCAAGGGCTCGCAGTTTCAGTGTTGGTCCGACCTTGCATTGCACTGCCTCAGTTCAGGTACATGTAGCAGGATGAGGGTTTCGGGTTCACCAATCCCAACGTGGGCTTGAGGACCGCTGGCATGTACATCTTTTGTCTATAGCCGGATGTCTTCTTCAACAATATACGTAAATATATACATACATACATACCTACATACGTACATACATATATGGAAATATGTACATACATACACATGAGCGTTTGTCAAAACTTTTGGCTTCCGGCCAGGTCATGGGAGCTTTACAAGGATCTAGTCAATATCTTTCTGTGGGTTATCGCATGACGCTTGCGAGATTAACAATGGCTTTACGAGCAGTCAAGCTAATTAAGTTGTCAGGTTACAATCAGGCATCCGGCTAATGTTCTGGGACTAGGGTAACCATTTTTGATATTCGTGCAGCTGTGTCTTAAGGTTTACGTGAGGGATGGTGTTTTGGGGGCGAGACCGAGATACCAGAGTTGGTGCCAACATCAGGGCCAAGACCAAGACGACCAAGCTGAGTCTTATGGTTGAAGTTGTTAAGACTTAGGAACCACTTCAAATTCACTGTGATTCTTAAGGTTCCTATTGAAGCCTATGGGGGCAAATGTTGAGCTTGGGGAAGAAGCGTCGGGCAGAAGTGAATAAGTTTTTTTGGCTTTGTCGAGGCGGAAATTGGGGTTGCCACTGAGGCCACCATTGGGTTCGCTTTCGAAGGTAGCACGCTGTTTACTACGAAGGTGAATCCAAGATTACACTAAGGCTCCTTTAGGGCAATAGGGGGCCAGGAGTCAGGCTGCTTCAGTGCCAGGCCTATGCTCTTGCAGCGCTGAGGCCTGAAACTCTCATTTCATTCCCGCTCTTCCCATGCGCAGGTAATCATTATTGTCATGGGTGTGTTGGGGTATGGGCAGTCGAAGCATGAGATTTTGGCGGACCGTCAGGCTTTTGCCAGGTTGAAGCGACACTGCGTGCCACAATGCCGGGTCAAACAGCTGAGAATGTCTCAATACGATAAGCATCTTTGGAGACATGTGTGTGTGTATATATATATATGGTATCCCCTCAGCTATGTACTGTTTGGGTGGGCTTAACAGCCCACCTTCGCTAAAACCAGATTGGTGGACAAACTGAGCGCTGTCCTGACCATTTGTCCCAAATCCGTGCCTGCAGTGAGTCCAGGCGCCCGAGGCCGGAGGAGTCCCCGGAGACCCGCCGCACGAGTCCTTACACAACAGTTTCAGAAAGGAACTTCAGAATCTCAACGCTCGAAATTCCAGTGCGCAGGCGCGTTTTTGACCTCTTGGTGGTTAAGCCCCCGTCCCCCCCGTAAACGACTGCAACCTCAGGCAGCCGGTGGAGTCCGCGTGCCTGCTAGAGGTGTGGCGGCGCTGCCGCCGGATGACCGTGTCGAGCTACGGAGCACCTCGATGCGATGCGGCGGTTCCCTTCGACATCATCACCATCACCATTTTCTTCTTCTCCTTCTTCATCGGTATCACCACCACTATCATTCTCACAATCCTCACCCACTACATCAGCAACAGTTAACATCAACACGCATCACCACGACAGTCAGCGATGACCAGCCCCACCACCACCAACACTGCCGGATCAGACGCCACCAGCACCAGAAAGAACAGGACCTGCATGACAATCACCAACAGTCCACTATTGTTGTACCGTAACCACCGGATCCTCACGTGTGTCGCCACCATCGCTAACAGCTCGCTGCCGTTGAGCCTCTCAGTATTCTTATGACTACCTAATCGACTTCGTCCAGAGTCTGTCACTACATGGTCGCAGATGTGATCACTTCTATCACCCTGGCAACAACAACAGCAGGCCGGAGCAGCAACAACAACCACAAGAAGCGAGTAGAATGTACCATCCACAAAAAAACAACACCAAGCACCACCACCCTGCCGCCGCCGCCGCCGCCACCACCACCACCACCACCACCAACAACAACAGCGAAGACAAGGAACGAGAGGAACACGACGAATATTACTGATAATGCCGACCATCATTCCACCGTTGATGATGATGCTGATGATGTTGTTGTTGTTGTTGATGATGATGGTGATGACGCTGGTGCCAATGACGACCATTATCGTCAGCATAACCATCACCACTACAATGGCGTCATGGGCATCGCCTGTATCATAATCTTCTTATTCTTCATCAGTGTGTGTCTGAGGTGTTCTTCATCTTCGCCAAGTCTTCATCCTCTTCACGTTCATCACCATCAGGGTGTGCATGCCCTGCCCCGGTTGAAGGAGGCGCTAGCTCCAAAACTTAGGTGAAGCTTCTAGAATCAAGACTAGGCTTGTGGATTTAAGCACAAGGCCTGCCTGCAACCAATAGCCAACCCAAGCTGACCCTCCGCGGTTTCAGCGTCGAGCGACAGCAGTTGGCTCTCTGGCGAAATCCACGGTCAGGGACAGGCCCTTAGCAAGCGACTGCGCTGAGGTTTGCAGGCCATCTGAGATGCGGTTTCTCCGGTTATGAGTCCTTGAGTTTGTCTTTTTTTGCCTCCCGCCTGGCTGGGAGTTTGCTAGTGTACTGGAGGGGTCTTGTCACGTGGCTGACTCGTGTCAGGATTGGGACCTGGAAGCTTGGGATTCAGGATGCTCTACTTCTGGGACTCCTGCGAGGTTCCGGGAGGTACCCGATCGAAGCGCCAAGAGTGAGTGCAAATCACAATTTGCGGCAGAAACGTGTACGGATCAAAACTGCACTGGCCTGATTCGCCTTCGCCACGCGCACTGGGCCTTGGCATGATGTAGAATAGTAGGGGCTGCCAGATTCGCTTGGCCTCGTTGGGGTTCGTTGCAGGCGGCGCGTGAGTGGAGAGGGATGGTGGCATTTTGCGCATAGTTGCTGCAGCGACAAACCAGTCAGATATAACAGACTAGAAGCTCTTCCTGGAAGCGCTCTTTAGTGGATGATGGAGCCTGCAATGCACGTTCGGCGCTTCTGCAGGGAGACGGTGGCATCACCAACTCAGGTTCAAAGCTCCCAGTGAAGGTCACGGCGACTTAGTCGGTTGATACCAGATGGTTCCGGAGACGCCCCTGTGCATGCCAATATCTTTTCGCAGGGCGTTGCTGGGCTTGGCTTTGCTCTTGTCGACGTTTCATTTAGCCTCGAGCGCGTTGCATACACTTATCAAATCTTGGGGCACACACTAAGTGACATTCGCTGCTGACCAGAAACCACCACCGGAACCTGTGAACCCTAAATGCCAACAGAAACCTCAAGTCCCAATCGCTTTCGCCACTGCTCGTCCCTGAAGCCAGCCTGTAGTTACTCACAAGCCTACTGATGCGGGCGGGCTGCCCTGGTTTTCAAAGAGGATCTTCACAGCCCGCCCGTTGTCCTGTAGCCAGGAGGAGGAGGCTCCTGAGTTGAGGCCTTTCTTACAGCCAACAGCATGATCGCGACAACCTCCACGAGCTACTGCAAGAGTTTGTCGGGGATCTGGCATGCTCCAAAGTTCTGTAGGTATCTCGATGTGGTGACGTCTAGGTGCACACATTTAACCTCTTCAGGCTTGCCATAACTCTTCAGCCCGCATAGAAATTGTTGGGCTTCTTTGTTCTTGTGCACCTAACTGCAATCTGCAATCATTATCCCCATCTCTGGGGCTTCACGGCTTGGGAATTTGGGCTGCTGCCACGCGAGATCGCAAAGACTACGGCTGGGAATCGATTTTGCGAGTCCTTGTGCGTTTTCGTGATCTTCGAGAGGTTTCCAATCTCACATTCCGTGCCTGTCCAAGGGTGAGCCTTTGCGCAAACGCATCGCTATCTGGAGCTTAGAAACTCTCCAACCCAATGGTCCCCCAAACCCTGAGCCTTGCACGGGCAGGCGATGTTCAACTGCCAGGATGGCACGGCAATTCCGGAATCGAATCGCAGCTCCGAAGTCCGACGCCCGACACCTTACGCTACTACAACGCCCTCGAACTTGCACATAAAACCACAGCTTAGAACAACCCTGATACCTAAGCAGAGGCCCCAGATGAGGAAGGTCCTCGAAGTTCAAAGAGTCCTCCCACGAGGGCTTAGCACTGCACAGGAGTCGGCAGAGCATGCGACGAGGGAGCCAAGCACCTCGAATCGTGCTTGAGAAGTAACTTGAGGCCGAAGCCCCCTAACGCAAGGAATGCTGCATCCAATTGCCATAAAGGTATATTGTGTCTACTCACTACGCATTGAGGCGCCCATGAATGAAGGATAATTCAGGGTTTGGGCGCAGGTGAGGGGCTGTTGTTGTCGGGCTGAGGGTTGCATGTAGACTCGGAGACAGTTCGTCCGAGGTCGCCAGAAGGCGCATGGATTTTGTAATTGAACCTACATGTCACACATCCAAAGTGCACATACAGAGCCAGGAATCAATGGGGACAGGTGGACAATCAAGGTTTCGGGTCCATGGAAATTGAAGTGCGTGGGTTACGGGTCACAGCAGGCATGCTCTGCAGCCTGTAGGGCACTTTTTTTCGTCTCTATGATCTTTCGAAGAGCTCATCGCGTCTGCTGGCCCGGGCCGCCCTCCAAAACCACCAACCTTGACTTGAACCCGAAACCCAACTACCAGTGTAGTTTATAGTGTAGACCAAGCCATGTGAGAAAAACAGCGGATTACTTGGTCAAAGCAGCTGCCATTGCAGAGTTCCCAGAAGCGCTATGAGGAACTATGCTTCGTAGCTGTGCCGCAGCTTGTGGGAGGTTGTGGGCCGCGAGGACAAACTAACCCTGGAGGGAACGAACGAACGTTCAAGACCTTGACTAACAGCGAATCAAGGAATTGAAGGAGACACCTCAGTTCTAGACTTACAGCATTCCGAGTCTTTAACGTGCAATCAAGGACACGCGGGGCCTGGACTCGTAAAGCAGCTTGCAGGTCGGCTTCGTGCGCAGGAAACCCTAGTTCGTTGACGAGTCATCCACTCATGCCCAAAGGGGACGTCTATGCCAAGTGTCCATGGTCCACGCGCCACTGAGTCTCCTCAGCTCGCAGCTTCAACGTAAAACTGTAGACAGCCCCAACAAAGATATCCTAATCTGGGGGATTTCGGGCATGGAGCAGCAGTAGAACAACAACAGGCACCATCAGAACTTGTTGTTGTGTTCCTTTGGTGTTATTGCTGCTTTCATTCCACCAGCGGAGTCACATCACCACGACCGTGCACACCCCGATGCCCCGGAGGCAGCAGCTGAAGCAAAGCCGAAACCTTGAGTAGGTGCAGACTCTCGAGTGGGCCCAGGGTCATCGCTTAGCCACTTTGGCAGCACAACGTAGAAGCTGACAGGCAGGCTGGGCAACAAGTACCTGAATTTGCGTGGGCGTTGATTTAGGGTTCAGGCTTCTGGTTCTGCCCTTGCCAATCATCCCACTGCTCGAGATTATGTTCTTCCATTTGAAAGCTGATCATGTAATAACATGGACATTACGACCGTCTACAGTGTCGTACTCCGCGCCGGGTTTCTGCATTCCTATCCTTGGGGGTGCCTTTATGTTCATACCACAACTATCGGAAGCTTGTGTTTATGCGGTCTCTCAAGCCTTGCGTAGCTTGTGCTCTGTTTGCCAAGAGAAAACATGGCACTCTGCCAAAAGGGGTTCCCGGGACTCCCAAACTCCAGGAAGAAGGCTGCCGATCATTCTGTCATTCGTACTGTTTCGTAAATACACTAGGTCACTTAGCTAAGGATCATCTGCTGCTGCTGCTGCTATTGAATATTGCCCTTGGTGCTACCACTACCACCACCACTCTTCCTATATTACCCTCCTCCTCTACCTCGTGGTGGAGGCGGCGTGGCTTCAGAATTTATTCGAGTCTTGCATGAGGCTCGTGCCGCTTCTCATGTCAGTTGCTTACACAGAGGCCTGCACAATTCGACGAGTAGTGAGTGGGGGTTTGAGTCAAATACTGGGTCCCTATGCTACCCGCTACCCTTCTTTCGAAAAGGCCTGGACCCTCTGCAGGTGCCGGGCACTATTACGAACAACCTGTGCCAAAACACCCTTTGAATTTTACCTGCCGCAAGCGGGATGCCGATCTCCAGATGGACAGCAGCTTCGAAGGATCACAAATCCTTCAGGGAATCTCCCAAAAGGTCTGTGACGGGAGAGTGCCTCCCTTGGACTGATTTTCTACTCGTTTGGACAGACAGCCTGACTTTCGTACCTCCACTTTCTACACGGAAGAGGCGTCTGGTCCGCAAAGAATGCAAGGCCTCAACACCAAACGTAGTAAGCCACAGCACAGCCCTTGGTATCACGGTATCACAACATGGCCAGAAAAGCCCCCACGGCTGAACCCGACGAGCCTGAATATGCAAATGCTCAGGGTTTAACCGTTAAGCTTCGCGTGCTAGGCTGACGTCTTTGGGGCCGGCCTCCACTACCATCAAAAGGTGTTCCTTGTTGACAGCTTCGGAGCTTCCCAAGTTTCGGCGCTAACACTCGGACACTACAGGCGAGGCATGTGGTTCGAGGTCTGCTGACAAGGTTTCTCCACCTGAAAATGCCATCCGATGAGTTTTGCACACCGGGGGCTGCTTTAGAGTTAAACGCTTGGGCTTTGTCTTCCCCCCCACGCAGGTCCTCCACGCAGAGAGGTGGATCAACGAAATCTTCTGAAAGGATCCCAACAGCCCAGCAAGCTCCTTAACCCTGAACCCGGAGGACTGAGCATTCATAACCCCTCAGTACCCCAGCCCGAAGGTCGAAGAGCTTCATTGCCGCCTTTTTCCTGAGAACACTCGCCGCTAGTGGCCCTGAACCCCAGGCCCATGTCAAAGAGACCACACGCGTCCTGCACAAAGCAGTGCCTCCAGAGCTGGCGGCGCCTGTGCTGTCACTGTGCGTCCAATCATGAGTTTCGATCCGAAACAGCCAGGAGTGTCAAATCAACACCTTCTCATCACGATGCTGCCGCTGCGATCTCTGCCTACAACACAAACTACTACTACTACTACTACTACTACTACTACTACCACCTACTACTACCTACTACTACCTACTACTACCTACTACTACCTACCTACTACTACCTACTACTACTTACTACTACTTACTACTACTACTACTACTACTACTACTACTACTACCTCTACCTACTACTACGACGACGACGACGACGACTACTACTACTTACTACTGCGGCCACTACTGCTGCGACTGCGTACTGCGACGACGACGACGACTATGACTACGACTACGACTGCGACGACGACGACTGCTGCTGCTGCTGCTGCCACCACCACCACTACTATCCTGCCACTTTCCTCCTCCTTCGGCTTCATGGTTCTTGACGCTGTGGATGGTTTAGCTTCGCCGACATGGATTCCTACGCGTTCAGCGGCCACTCTCGAAGCTTAGGCTCATTGTTGAGGATCTCGGCTGTTGTCTATGCACGAGGTGGTGCTGCTGCCTTGCATACAGACCCTGCCCTTCGCGCAATCCAACAAACTCAGCAAAGACACCCCCGGCACCCCTTCCCAAAGCCCTTAGGGTGACAGGAGTGTCTCTCAGGACCGGCCTGCAAGGCCAAGAGGAGCACCAGCAGCGCCAGGGGCGGAAGCACGGCAGCCAGTAGAGGTTTTCCGGCCTGCTAGTGCCAAGGAATTAAACGGCTTTGTTCAGGGCTTGGAGACGGCTGCTTTTGTCCCAGACTACTTACGGGGAATTATACGGGGGGGGTGTTGAGAGTTCCGAAGTCTTCTCAGGATAAGGCTTTGTGTGCTTGGGGCAGTTAACTTAATGCCCTCTCAACCTCTCATGGCTCATGATGACACGCGACCCTTGCTGCTTCGCGGATTCAAGCTCCTGGCACAACTACACTGTCTTAGTTCGTTGGTAGACATGCTAATGGATCCGTACTTCCCAACATCTGAAACCGTGCGCAGATCAGACTTTGATGCCTGGATATGCCTGGTATCACTTGGACACAGTTCTTCACTGTTCCTGCGCACCAAGCAACGACCCAAAGCTTCCAGAATCGGACTGCAATCTTAGTTCGGGGTTGTGTAGGCCTCTAGGCCGTCGCTCGGTCCTTCCACTGGTCTTCTATTCATGCTTCCGCCTTGCGCTGCTGATCGCAAACCTGTCAAGGTTGCGCAGATAAGAGGCGCCACAATCTGTTTTGTGTGGCCTGCCAAGAAGCTTAAGGGCTGCATCAGGACGCCCAACCTCTCCGTCGCATTGAAACCCTGTGCTACCACACCCTCAGCCTGTTTCTGCCAAGACTCCAGGTGACTCCGCTTCCACGCAAGCAGAGACAGAAGTGCGGCCTGGACGCAGAGTGAAAGCAGCATATCTGGAATTTCGATACTTCACCACCCACATGCTGTGCAGGCACTTAGAAAAACAGCTCGGACGCAAACTGTCTAAGCTGCAAGCAGGTGTGGTGAGATAGAACCAAGTCGCCATGGGTGTGTAGGGCTTTGGTGATTTGGGCATGGGTTTTTAAGAAGTTAAGGCTTCAGGGTTTCAGGCTGTAGGCAAGTCTATATAGGGCTCTAGCGTTCAGTTAATGGTTTTGGTGTTTGTGGGTCTGCAGGGATCGAGATGATTTCAAGTTTGCAGCAAGAAAGCCACAGACTCCATTCCATACTATGTACTTCAAAGTCAGTAGTAGCCTTTATTAAAACCCCCCCCATCCCGTGACTCGGGAAGAAGACTCCAAATGGTCGGACAGTTGGGTAATGGCTTCAGCCGGCAAGGATGTCTCCGCCTTGGGCTTTCAGGTTTTACAGACATGCTTTGGACCCCTCGACCAATCCAGAGCTGCTGAAATCGTTACGGAGTCTGGAGCCCATACTTCCTAGGGTGTGTTTGCGGATTCGGCTCGCCGGTAGATGCTCTGGATCACAAGCTCGGCGGCTGTTTGCTTTGGCTTAGGCCTGGCTTCCGCACCGCGCATTGCATGCTAGCAGCATTAGACTCGAGTCTAAAACACAGGACTCACCAGTGAGATTACCGTTCCGCATTCAGGATGTGCACAGTTACATAAATGCATGCATGCATGCATGATTGCATACACAAGTTCTTGCATGCATACATACCTACTTCTCTACCTACTTGCCTACTTGCCTGCCTGCTCTGCCTGCCCGTACATGCATATACACACAAACAAACAGACATGCACGTGTGCACATACATGTATCGACACACTCAGATGCACGCGCACACAAACTTCTTGGTTTGCGTAGCCTTTCGAGCCAGGAGTTCGAAATTCCAACGTGCTGAAGCACCCGAGCAGGCAGCATCCTTAAACTCACCCTGCAGCCATAGGTTGGATTATTGTAGGATATAAGCATTGACAAAGCGTCTTGCCATCTGCATGCCTTGCACAACGTCTGTGATGCTTTGCAAGCATCTTCCCTTCTTCTCGCCTGAGTTGGGCATAGAAAGGCTCCAGGCAGGCTCCCGACGAGAAGCAGCAGCACATCGGCCGGACTCAGGCCTTCGGCAACGGGGTTTGGGTCGGGGAGTTTCAGGGTTTGGACTCTAAGCTGATCGGGTTTGCAATGTTTTTGCTCACGCATACGCATGTGTCCTGTGCGCAAGATGAAATAAAAAAGAACTGCGTTCGGGCCAAGATGCACTCATAATGCCGATGCTGGCGGCCCAGTGGCAGGAGCCGGGTGTAGCCCAACGCCTTGCCCAGGCAGCTTTCGGCTTTCGAGCTCCAGATGTTCTATGCTTTGGATTTCATTGGTGCCTCCTTGCTTGCTCGTTACAACAAACTTGAATTGGAGCCTTCAGCATCAAGCCTTTGTTCAACAATTCAACAGCTTCCAACATGATGAGATGTTCATTTTTTCGGGGTGTGTCTATGCTGCTTGACAAACTCCCATCTCAACTTCTCGTGAAGACACGGGATTTCCCATGATCAAAGATCCGAAAATCGAAAAAAGCTCTCACACACACTCTCTCACACACACAGATATATATATATATACACACACATATATATATATACACACATACACACACATATACATATATATGTATATATATATATACGCACATACACACATATCCACATACATACATACATACATACATACATAGGTACATAGATACATAGATACAT